CTCTAGGTTTGGATCTTGTTTCTGCAGTAGTTTGTCTTTAACTTGCTCACAGTAAATACCACATATTATTCTGTCACGAATCAGTTCATATCACGCATTGTGCCAAATGCACAATCCTTTGCTAATATTTTAGTGCTGTGACGAAATCATCAATGGATTCATTTCTTCCTTGATTTCTAGTGTTGAACTTGTGACGAGAAATTACAAGGCTTTTCTTTAAGGCGAAATGTTTTTTCAAACTTGTCTAGGATGTCTTTTGGTACAGTGCTTTTGTCATCATCTTCTTCAGTGAACTCAAAAGTTTCAAAGATTTCCCTACCTTCAGGGCCTATTATGTACTGAATAACTTTGCTTTTCTCAGCATCGGTTTTGTCTGCCATACCAACATCTAAATACAACTCTACTGTTTTCCTCCATTGTTTCCATCTTTCAGCCTTATTGCCTTCAGTGGTAAAATCCATTTCTGGTGGTTGTCTAAAATTATTGTGTGCCATAATTTACAATAACTTCTAGGAACACTAACTTCTCAGTCGTCTTTGTTCTTGTCAAAAGGTCACAGTATCTTGTTGTGAGTTCCTTTGTTCTCTTTGTTCTCTGCACTGTTGTACCTTGATTTTGGGTGACTCTGGAAATCTCGCTTTTTAAATGATTTTCTCAGAAGTTCTTTCTCTTCAGCTCAATCTGTTGTCACTTCACTTCTATATGGTGAGTTTCAAACAATTGTCATGCAGGAATCAGCACTTCTGACACCATGTTATGTTTAGTAATTGACAAAGACACTGTCTCTAGCTACTACTACTAAGAACTGATTTACTCAACTCAAAACAAGGTTACACAGTTTGCATAATGAACACTTCCTGTGTGTACAGCGTCAATTGCCATATGTTGATAATTAACATGCTTTGTTGATTACATATCATGACAATTACTATACAATTTCGGCTGAGTCTGATAGTTACCTCACTGAGTCAAGTGATTCAAACGATGATAAATATTTTAATTAATACTGTTTGTTTTATTATGTTCTAATCTACGATCATAAATCTATTCACTTCCAATATTTAGGGGGTTCGTCCGACCCCCCCCCCCCTTCCACCCCAAAAAAAAAAACTACGGGCCTGCGTTGTACCAGATAATTATACATCTGTCGTCCATACTTATTTATCCCTTGGTCACAAATGTACAACAAATTATTGCGTTATATTGGTGGAAAAGTACGATATGGTTTGTAAAAGTATAGACCATAACAAATACTAGCAAAGAGCAAAATATAAGCATGTTCTCGGATAATTCGCCATAAAAAATAATCTGTGGTTCCAAATACATATCCACAGAAGCATGAATATGTACACTAGCGATTACAATCATCTGGTTGGGCTTTTGATTTATAAATGTTGTTATTTTCGGTTGAAACGTGCCGCGACCAGTCACGTGTTGGCTAATGTATGCAAAATGCCTGTCAATCACGGTTTGAGTAAACGAAAATGTAGATCCCCTAGATGTTTATTCAATCAACAAAGCTTGTTGGTTTACAAACAGCATTATCGTTACGTAGTTTGTCTATGTCTAACCATGGAAGGTACTAACGGATCTAACCATCGGTAACACTGGGACATGACGATGTAAGACAGTAAACAATGTCATTAACATTAGGTTACGGGCTTTCAATTAAAACCACGCAAAAATTTCCTGTTGGAATGTAAAACACAATACCCAAGTCAAAACAACACTCACTCCTGACCCACAATCTTACGAATTTTACCGTAGTCATTGACGCCTATACAAGAGTACGATGTTTATTGTGGTTAGCGTGAATAGGTAAAGCTTCGCTTCGACAATGAGCTGTTTTCACCGTAAAAATGTTAAATTAGTCTTCAAATGGTCAGTTTATCATCGAAAACAACTATTTTTTTGATTTAAAAAAGTGCCGTCTTCCCATCAAAACCAGAGGTAAAAGATCGTGCTGGAACATCGGCAAATCTCCTCCGTGTTGGTATTTGAACACGTTGGCATCACCGAGTATTCTGATTGACTGATTAGCGATTTGACCTTTCAGGTGTCGAGCATTTGCATGCGACCGGAGTCATTCGCGTACGCTGAAACTAAATTGAAATTTACCTGCATTTCCGAACAATTCAACGAATTTACTTTTTTTTACTTTATTAATAATCACTACCAAGTAATAATGATAATTGTGAAACGCAGCATGATCGGATTGCGTTACCGTGATTATTTGCTACTAAGCAATACAGTGTTCGTTTTTTTTTTTTAAATTTATTTTTAGGAACGCCAGAACGATGTTGGTTACTACTATGTGGACGTTTTTCCTTTGATCGTACGGCAAAGACTTGTGTTTTCTGAGGGATGACTATTTGTATAACTTTCTAGACAGTCTGGAAAAAGGAGGGGTACAGTGAATAAGTGTCAGACTGCAATGAGCTGCAAATGTAATACTGGTAGACGTGCAGGAAATAACCGTTCTGTTGGAGGTTCCAAGTTTCGGATATTGACAAGACATTGACCTGACTGCTTCGTATGGTGTTACCCTTTGTTTTATTTTTCGCTCAACAGCTCAAAACCGCGAAATCAGATGTTTCCACAGCACACATTACAGAGTACAAGAAGTAAATACGCCATGCTTGAAATGCATGAACAACCAGGTCTTGGCATAAGAAAATAAATCAGTTTTTGTTTCTGTATTTAACTGTAGGACGAAACGGTGCCCAGACAACACGTCACAGGCAGTTTCAATTCATAATTTTTACAATAGATCGTTTTCGTTCATGCCTTCAACAAGCATCAGGTTTTGTTTACGCTGGAGGTATCACCCATCTTTCCATGCATTGCGTCTATTACATATTGTCCAGTGTTTACTATACAATCCACGTCTGACAGCGGCGTTGTTGTTGCACAGACTTTGACCGTCATCCAGCCAGCTTTGCCTGTTAGTTGTAACGCAGGGTTGTAACAACGTCGATTTTAAAATAAAGACAACGCTGCAGATTGGTCGTTAAAATTGAGTCTACGGTAAAATTGTTTTGACAGAACGCTCTTCTCCCCCTCACCGCTCATTTGATTTTGACTGTAAAGTCAATCGACGTTCACCCACCAGATCACAAGAACTCAAATCTCACACGAGATACAAGCCGGTACCATCCGTGTACATACGGGTTAGGCTTCGTGGAAGACAAGGCTGTACATTTTGATTTTCCACACGAGTGTCGTAAACAGGTTACAAGATAAGCCCGTGATGTCGCGGCGACTTTTCTTTACTAATGATTTTGATATTTCCGTGTAATAACCTGTACTTATAATATACAGTACACTTTTTTATTGTCGCCTTTACCAGTTAGTCAATATTATATGGAAATGTGAGGGTAATAGTAAATACACGTTCTGTTTACCGATTTGTGGCGAAAATATGAAAACCGAAGTCCTTGACTTCGTGTTTTGGCAAAGTTAATATGTTAACGAGTTTTAAATACAGGGGAGCTAGTGGGCCCTTTGGGAGGTCAGTGATTTAAAGGTCAAATCTGCATATTTCAATTGTGACCAATCATATGGACTTTGCTGCCCTATTAGCATAAATAAATAAACTATCTGTTTGCAAATCTGGTAATACTACTCACTCCCACTCGGCAAATCGTACACCAGCTCCGATTGACAGTCAATCAGGTAGACCGATATGCCTGGGATTTAATAGAGGTAATTGCAAATTTGGTACTTCATGCACCAATGCACATGTGTGCCTAGAGCCTACTTGTCGCAAGACACATCCTAAAACTACCCATGCCACACCTTCCCTGGTTTCAAAAAACTAATTACGGAGTCGCCACCCACCCCTAAACCAGCCCCACAGATTACTGCTCTCAATTACAAAATATGGCAAAATGAATGCAAAATGACCCCACGCTGAATTTCTCCTCGTGGACATCAAAAATGGGTTTCACATAACCACTGAGGGTTGTTGCATATCGCCCTGCATATACAAAAAATTATCGCTCTGCTACAGGAGTGGCACGTCAGAAAGTAGAGTCCCAACTACTTTCAGAAATTGCGGAGGGTTACTACTTACCAACCCCATATAGACCTACCATAGTTAGCGCACTAGGTGCTATCCCTAAACCTAACTCTGAAGATGTTAGGCTAATACATGACTGCAGTCAACCAATAGGCAGCGCAGTCAATGATTATGCCTCTCATGAACATTTTCGATGACGCAACAAAACTACCTAGCTAGCTAAGGTTGACCTCAAGTCAGCCTGCCGCTCCGTG